AAATTATCTCATTTCGCATAGATTTAGGAGAGTATAAATGGTATCGCCCGAAACAATCTCTATCGCACGATACGGTTCGGGAGGCAGGGGCATACGCATACTGCTGTAGTTGTGGTTTGTTGTTATTAGATGTTGGAGATTTTATCGATATACATATATGTATAGATTTGACGGCTACGTGGCGCAGTAGCTCAGCAATGAGTTATAGCGCTGAGGGCCGTGGGTATGAATCCCGCACGGCACAAGTATTTGTATGGCCTACAAGTAATTGTTCCGAGTCTGGATGTTTGTTCTTGTGTCGAAACGAATATTTTTTTACTGTAAATCTTCGATTTTTTGTAAATAATAACAAATAAAATATGTGAAAACTTATCAAAATATTGACAATTCAAAAATTTTGTAAGAATTTGGCTTTATTTGAGAAAAAGTGGAAAACATTGTTCTTGCAAATATATAGTAAGGTAATTGGTACAAATTAAATTGTCACTAGGTTGCTGATATTACTTTTGGTATGAAACTGAGTTATATAATGAACAAACATTGTTGAAATAAAAACTTTTAGATTTCAAAACCAATCTTTATTGGAAAATGTGCAATTACAAGTTACACTTATTTTTATATTACAATATATTAAAAATCAGACTGACATAACGAATAATCACAATTTTTATTGTTCATTACTTAACGGGAATCACATTTTACTGGAGAAAAAGTATTAGTTTAAAATAAAAATAAAATAATGAATCCATATGAACAATCAGACTTTAAATCATTGAGTAATTTTATTATTAGGTATATTTTTAGGTAGACTTTGACTATTCAATAAAGCTTAAAATCTCGTGACAAACGGATTTGTTATTCCACTCCAAGAGCATTTGCAAACAAAATACAATTACAAGAATTAAACGTTTATATCAAACTTGTCTTAGACAAACAAGAAGAAAACATACTCAAATTAAAAATAATCAACTATAAATAATTATAATATAACTTGTAGTATTAACTCAGTACAGCTTATTAACTAATATAAATTCACTGTTTTACTTATAATTATAGCCTCTCACAATGATCAACACAACTTCTCTTAAATGATGTATCAGTCTTTGTATTATTTTGGCGTTATTAATATCAGCCTTTTTTTCCAGCCTGTATTTAAAAAACCCGCTGTTCTCAAAGCTTCAGACATTCATAAAATGGCTTGTGATATCTGGGGATAAGATTTTTGTTAACCAAATCCATTAGGTCTGCTCGTTTTTTATCAGATATCTCAGGTTTTTGGTTGTATGCATTTTTTAATTCCAAATTTGAGATGTCCCTTTTCTTTTTAATAACAATAGCTTTATTAAATTGCTTATCAGCATATGAATCTTTAAAAAATACAGCTTCAAGATCGCTTTTTTGAACTCTAATCACTTTTAAACCTGTTAGTTTAACTTAATCATTATTTTCATCTTTTAACAACGAAAAGTTCATTTGATTAGTTAAGATTTTCCAATCATAGAAATCTGCGAAGCACATTTCATTCACATGAAAGTGCTCATTTTACTTCCGGGCAGCCTTTATAGCACCAATAAATGCGTCAGGTGTATACATTCGCCCAGATCGTAATTGCCGCTTAATTTCGCTCTCAATTTGAGAATGAGCAGAATCGCGCTCATTCTGGGTATGTCCTTTTATTAAATATTTATGAGTGACTGCATTAAAGTTTGGTATTGTCTTTACTGCGTATAGATACATGCAAATCATAAATTTATTTTTCTGTTGCCCCGCATAATTATCCGAATAGAATACAACGTCTAGATTTTTGACTTTTTCTGAAACTTTGACGAGGTATTTGTAAACGCAAGTACCGATCGTTTACACCTCTGTGTGCATTTGACTCGTCCCAAACTTAGCTTTCGACACAATTACTCTGAATGTTGTATATAGTTAGATTACATTCAATTTAGACTTATAATAAAAGACAGAAATGTCTCCTTTGGGACATTGGAAAACCGCTTGAAGGTCGTACACAGCAACGAGAATTTCACTATTCTTTTTATCGTTCTCCTTCTCTGCACGTGAGAGAAATTTTTCATTTTGATGTGTTTCATAGCTTTCTTCTAATCGTTCTTTCTCTTCATCAGTGCTGTTTTTGTAAGTTTCGCATACATCACATAAATCTTTTTAGGGACAAAGAATGATATGTTGTAATCTTGCGTAAATATACGGTAACACCTTAAGTAATTGGCGAACGGTACATTTTTTCTAATTACATTCAGCAACATAGTTTCTATGAAGATCGGTGATAGCTTTGCTGCCATCGGTATTGCTTCAATAAATGTTTTTACACCATTCTTTATGTTTTCATCCACTTATATCGATTTGCGGTGAGCTGAAGTTAGGGAAATTTGGAGTAGGGCAACGGAACCGTAGGGGCCAGCAGCTGGCCGACTTCATGGAGAAATAGGGACTCTTTATGATGAACTCTTTCTTCCAGAAGCGGTCCCATTGGAATAAAGTCAACGCTCCGGCACCCTCGTGCTCTGATCCAGAATCACGAAACCTTTCAGCTCGAGTTACGTAACCGCTTTCAGTGCCTAGAAGATTGCAATGCAGTGGATCATATGAATGACAGGCTCGTGGAAACTGTCCATGCGGTCGGAGCTAAGTTCTGCAAGACCGGCCGCAGAAGAACACAAAAGTTCACCGATCACACTCTTAATCTCATGGCTGTTAGATGGGAGATGAGGCTGTAATCGTAACCAGATTTGACAGCATACAGGCAACTGAACAGACAGATCTCCAAATGCATGCGGCGAGACTTACGCAAATTTAATACTGCTCGTATTGAAGAAGCGATTGAATGGAACCAGGGCTCCAAAGTCTTTGCCAGAGATCTATCTTTCAGTAAGAACCAACTGTCAAAGCTGAAGACGTGGCAGCATTGTTTTCGGGACACCTGAGATTCTGAGTGAGATTGAGAGGTTCTATGGGCAGCTGTACACATTATCGTTGGAGCCACACGCAAGTGTGAGTAACGATTCAAGAGCGGGTCTTATCCGACATTATTCCGATGATATCCCGGACGTCAGTCTGAGCGAGATTAGAATGGCTCTCCAGGACTCTAAAAACGGCAAGTCCCCGGGCGAGGAGGAAATTACAGCGGAGCTTCTGAAAGCGGGTGGAAAACCGGTACTTGAAGTCCATCAGAGGGTCTTTAATTCCGTCCTCCATGATGGCACTACTCCGGGGGCGTGGAGCAGAAGTGCGGTGGTCTTGTTCTTCAAGAAAGGTGACAACGCCCTCTTGAAGAACTACAGACCGATATCCCTTCTGAGCCGCGTATATGTGCTGTTTTCGAGAGTCATTACGAATCGTCTCGCACGCAGACTCGATGACTTTCAGCCTTCCAGCTTTAGTACCATAGACCACATACATACCCTTTGGCAAATTGTACAGAAGTCCGAAGAGTACAATCTGCCACTTTGCCTGGCGTATGTGGACTATGAGGAAGCCTTTGATTCCGTCAAAATTTGGGCGGTGCTACAGTCTCTTCAGCGGTGCCAAATTGACTGTCGGTATATCGAATTGCTGAAGTGTTCGTACAGTAGGGCTACGATGGCTATCCGAGTACAGAATCAGAGTACGAAACCTATCCAACTGCAGAGAGGTGAAAGACAGGATGACGTTATTTCCCCAAAACTCTTCACCGTTGCATTGGAAAACGTTTTTGAGCTACTGGACTGGAAAGGATACGGTATTAACATCAATGGCGAGTACATCACTCACCTTCGATTTGCCGACGATATAGTCCTTATGGCAGAATCGCTGAAGGACTTAAGCACTATTCTTAATGACCTCAATAGTGCCTTCCAACGGATAGGTCTTAAGATGAACATGGACAAAACAAAGATCAGGTTTAATGTCCATGTCACACCTATGCCGGTAGTTGTTGGGAGCACTAAGCTCGAAGTTGACGAGTACGTTTACCTGGGACAAATAGTCCGGCTAAGTAAGTCCAATTTCGACCGAGAGGTCAATCGACGGATTCAACTCGGCTGGGCAGCGTTCGGGAAATTACGACACATCTTCTCGTCAGGTACTAAGTTGTACAACCGGTGCGTGTTGCCAGTGATGACATATGGAACTGAGACGTGGTCCTTCACTGCTGGCCGTATGAGGACGCTCAAAGTCGCTCAGCGAGCTATGGAGAGGGCTATGCTCGGAGTTTCTCTGCGTGATAAACTTAGAAATGAGGATATCCGCAGTAGAACCAGAGTGACCGACATAGCCCAACGTATTAGTACGCTGAAGTGGCAATGGGCCGGCCATATAGCTCGAAGAACCGACAACCGTTAGGGAAAAAAGGTTCTCGAGTGGCAGCCTCATACTGGTAGACGAAGTGTAGGGCGACCCCCCACTAGATGGAGTACCCCCACGACCTGGTAAGACATGCAGGAAGTCGATGGATGCAGATGGCTCAGGACCGTGCTTTGTGGCATACCTTGGGGGAGGCCTATGTTCAGCAGTGGACTTGTAAACAGTGGGCTGTAATGATGATGATGATGATATCGATTTGCGTGATGTCCCCGATTATCTGTCATAGAAGAAATGTTGCAATCTTTATTTTTCTTCTTTAACGCCGTTTCTATTGACCGATTATTAATTGCCAAAGTGTTTTTGAAAAATACTTTACACACTCTTATTTTTATTTCAGAAACGGTAAAATAGAAACCATTATTGTTGTCGCGAGTTGGTGCAACGTTTCCATCTGAATCTACCTTCACATATCGATGTTTTGGGATGTTTGCTTCGACACTATTTGCGATGACCACTGTTTTTCAATGTCGCCCAAGTTCCAGAATTTTTTTAAAAGTCGTTGACGTTGGTCATCTGTGATATTTAAACGACATTTGGATACGAAATTTTCTCTGCAAGGTGGTCTCAATTTAAGTTCTGGGATTATTTTTTTGTTTTTATTGATTCATAAGACTTACCGCTATTTCTCAGTTTCTTCCCTATGTTTTTCTTCCAGCTTCCTTCTTTTCTTCGTCTTTTTTACCTTTTTTGTTCGGACTACAATTTGGATTTTGTAAGTTTTGTTCAGTGGGGTTGACTTTTTCAATATTTGATGGTTCATTTAGTATCGGAAGTGCATCTGATTCTTGTAAAAGGCTGTTAAGAATCATTTCGTGGCCTTCTGTAGGTGTACAAATAACAGTTTCTTGTAAAGTACCATCTTGGTTTCTTGTGTTAACATTAACAACTTCTCCATCAGAATCTGAAGAATTTCGATAAAGACGCCGAGGCTCCACAACTTCATAGTTTGGATCTTTAACTGAATCGTCGCTATCTGTACACAAAATGTATTACGGTTGGAATATAAATAAGATTAAGTAAATTACCAAAAAAAAATTGAAACAAAAGTGGAACTTACCTTCATTAAACGATGTATTTGATGAGCTGCTTGATGATGATGATGAGTCACTCGAAGAACCAACCCTGCTGTTGGTCGAATCAAAATGATGGCTATTGGATACTGATAAGTCAACTTCTTTATTTGATGTGTTATCCACATTTAACGTTGTTTCCTCTATGTCCGACCTTGCATCCCCTGAGCTTAACGTTGCGCCCTTATCTAAAAAAACGTTTACATACGTAAAATATTTAATTTTAGTACGACAGAAAAATGTAATCCAAACTTAGTATCTACATTACTACGCGCACGGAATAGTTAAGTACCCACCATGCGTTAAAGAGTAGATAGGTATTTAACTCAGCCTCGTGGTGGTAGCCGAGTTTTCTTGCTAAGTAGTTCTTTAATAATTAAATATACAAACAGGTACCTGCACTTGTCTCTGCAACAGGAATATTCAAATTTTCTATTGACAATCGCGATTCCATCTGGAAAAATGAGTACAAATAGTTATTTGTTTTAGCAATAACAACGTAATATTTAGGAATATTACTGTTTTAATTCATTTGTTTTTGTTCAATAAGGGAGCATTAGCAGATAACTATAACTTAGTTTTAGTTATTAAAAATAATTCTTATTATGTAACTAATATTATATACACAATCAAACAACAAAAATACTTTCGTTTTTTAGTTCAAAAGTTCAAAATACAGATTTTTTAAATATGACAATTTAAATAAGACAACAGACTTTGGCATATTATGTCAATTTTAGTTTCCAAGGCGACCGTTAGGGGTGCTTCAAATTGGTACAGACATTTTGTATGGTATAGCCAGTTTTTTTTGCGCCCGAAGCAAATATTGCACCATATTGCTCCGGAAAGCGGGGGAGGGAGGCGGTGAATGCTCATAGCATACCACGCAGCCGGCTGCGTGGTTATGTGGAGACTTTTACCCACTAAACACCGCCTTTATGGATTGGCTTACCGATCTGACGAGAGATCTCTAAGCCGTATACGAACGCGACCCTCCTTGGCAGAAAGGAGGGCGCAAGGTATAGCCAGTCCGGCGTACTTGTATATATAGAGGTCAGTGGAGCAAATGACATGGAATTCAATCGGTCAAATGAGAAGGTGATGGTGATGATATAGTAAAATTTGGGCTCAAATCTCCCGATACAAAAATGTGGCTAGGATGCCTTTCGGGAATTAGTGAACCTAATCATCAGCGTGCTGTCGCTTCAACGTTTAAACGCCGAAGTATATCGGATTTTCGACGTTTTGAACATTGTCAAAGTAAGCTACGTAAGCGTATGTCAGCTGAAACAGTGAATTTAAATATAATGATACTACATCAAAAAAAAAAACATCTTAAGCAAATCTGCCACACATGAAGATTTACCTACCTAAATATCCACGACAAATTACTAAAACTGTAAAAAAAAGAACAGAAGCAGGTTAAGGCTGGAGCTATCTGGAGGTGATGATGACCATGAAGGTGTAGTGAAATTGTCTAATTTAGTTGATTTTAGTACGTAATATTACTGAAATAAATGAAAATGTCTTAAAATAATCTCATTTTTTCTTATTTCCTTTTTCATTTACAGGATACAACTTATCGAAATTAGGTGGATTTTAGACACCAAATTTTTGTGAAATATAACGCAATTTTGATAAGGGTTTAGTGCATCCTTTTTTCTTCATACGGCAACACTGGAGGAAGGGCCCAAAATCAGGGTAGTGTAATAACTGATGTCCCTAATTAGGGGCCACGCCCACCCTTCATTCAGGGCCCTGATTCAGGGTAATGTAATAGAGGCATACGTAGACAGCACTGACCTCTATATATACAAGTACGCTGGACTGGCTATACCATACAAAATGACTGTGCCAATTTGAAGCGCCGCTAAAGGTTGTCCTGAAAAATAAAATTGACATAATATGCCAAAGTCTGCTGTCTTATTTATATTGTCATATTTAAAAAGTCTGTATTTTGAATTTTTAAACTAAAAAACGAAAGTATTTTATATTGTTTGATTGTGTATAATATTAGTTACATATTAAGAATTATTTTTAATAATAGTGAGAGTGAGCGTATTCTGTAAAACTCGTTACCAAAAGGGAAGCCATATAACATTACACAAGTAAGTGTATTGGCAGCTAATATTTAACAAATTAAAACTATTTGATAATATAAGTACTTAAAATTTTGTTACTAATCTTAATATCATATATACCAACATGTTTGGCTGTATATTACTGAGTTTTGATAAACAATAACATTCAATAGGGTTGTCGAGTTCCTTGTCTATGATACTTATCGATGTTCTTTCCTACCCATATCTGTTAACAAGCAAAGTCGCCAACAACAGATGATTATCAAATGTTTATTAATTAACTGGTTTCCAACAGAACCTAGACTAAAATTATGGCTTAAAAGCATAAATATTGTGAATTGGCGTCCGAAACAAAATGATCATATTTGTTCCAAACATTTCACAGACGACTGTTTTATTAGACATGAGAACTGCACCACTTTAAAAAAGTGCAGTATACCGAATATATTTTCTGGTAGTATCAGTACCAGTAAGTATAAAAGTATTAGATTATTATTTGGAATGTTTTTTTATTTCTTCTTTCCTCATTTTCCACCAAAATCAAGGGCCATAGCCAAGTGTCGAAAGGTCGCCTGTTGATGTCGAGCCACGTTGGAGGTGAAGTAGTAAGGAAAGAGAAGTGTTGGTATGGCGATTGGCGATGCCTCATTCGACTATCTTTCGCGACTTTAGTGACGCTGCACCACTTGATGTTTCCAAGTGCTCGTTTTTCCCTGGCTCCATTCACATATCGGGCTCGTGGAGTCCGTAGTGCAGGTGGAGTTAGAGGCCGCGAAGGACAGTGTGGCTTGTATTTCTGGTGCGCCTTATCTGAGAAAGAAAACGGGGAGGAGAAGTCAGCAACTAAGGAGGGGCTGCCATTGGGCGGCTGGCGCGAGAGGGGCCGCGGATGTGCATGAAAGCGTTTCCGTGGCCCTGCGAATTTGCGGCGGAGGTAGAACACCATGGGGTTTTAGTAAGTGCGATCTAGAGATTTAATTCTCTATTAATTGCAGGCATGTAATAGTATGAGTACATATTTGTGCTATTTGCTGTAGAGACTACTGGTCCGTAGGGTGCACATGCGGTGTAGTTTCCAAAAAACTGTATCTGCGACTGATCATCACTGCAGGTAATGAAGTTGTTTAGTTTGTTGCTTCCTCGCTTGAAGGCTAAGTATAGCCATTCAGAGAGGACACGTAGCCAGCATTCTTGGGACGATACCACGGAAAGTAGGACTGTATGATGATTTCAGTTTTTTTTTTAATATTGTTATTTTAATTTCGAAAATGACGTAAATAACTGATAACTATGTAATTCAAAGTTTATTTTTTTATATTATCTTGCTAGCTCGTACCCGACGCATTGCTGCCGCAGAAGAAATAATTGTGGAAATATCGTAAAAATGTGGAACATACCTAAATGTGGTGTGGAATGTGGTATCATTCCTAAATATTGTATAATTAGGAATGATAATACAATCATTGAAATATAATGATATATAACTTTCTATAACTTTCAAATAAATAGTCAGTAATACGCATGCCACCTAGTGTCAGTTAATTGTACCATGCGTATAATCTTCACACAAGTGCAACCGATAAGTTAACAAAGTTTTACCGCAATCTGATGAACGGCATGGCATCGTAGAAAGTACGAACAAACATAATTTTTTATATTGTAGAAAATATTTTACTGTTTATATACCTGTAGTTGATTAGAATGAGCGTTGTTATAGCAGCTGATTTGTTTTTCTTTATAATACTAGAACTAAATGAACGGTTGACAATAAATTATTTTAGAAATTATGTTTTTTATTTTTATTTTGTGCAGATAGTTTAATCTTAATAATTTTTTAGTTGAATGGTCAAGTACAAAACTAATGTGGCGTAATATCCCCGAAATACTTTATCGCTACGTTGGAAGACGTCTTCAAGCTACTGGACTGGAAAGGATACGGTTATGGAGTGTAGAAGTAAGGAGTACCAACTCCCATAGTAGAACAGTTGAAAAAGTGGCCATGTAAGGAGTAGCTACTGGGATAAAATGAACTTAGCAGTTGTCGATGGTTTAAGTGTGGTGCTAAACTGCTCAGTAGCTCTAAAATCTAAAATAATTTTATTTAGTAAATATAACCTCGAAAAATTCGACTATCCCACTAATATTTTTCGGTGCATTCTTTAAAATTTTCCTCGTAGTTATAGTGGCGTCACCCTTATTTAGTGGTTTTTATGGACACTTTTTAATACACAGTCTGTACTCCTTACTTCTACACTCCATAGATACTGTATTAACGTCAATGGCATGTACGTTACTCACCTTCGATTTGTCGACAATATAGTCCTTATGGCAGAATCGCTGAAGGACCTACACACTATGTTCAATAACCTCAATAGTATCTCTCAACGGATAGGTCTTAAGATGAACATGGACAAAACAAAAGTCATGTGTAATGTACATGTCACACCTATGCCGGTGGTTTTTGGGAGCACTTAGCTGAAGTTGTTGACGAGTATTTTTTTCTTGGGACAAATAGTCCGACGGGTAGGTAAGTTCAACTTCGACCGACAGGTCAATCGACGGATTCAACTCGCTTGGGCAGCGTTCATTAAATCACAACACATCTTCTCGTCAGGAATACCTCAAAACTAGATTGTACAACCAGTCCGTGTTGCCAGTGATAACCTATGGATCTGAGACGAGGTCTTTCACTGCTGGCCGTTGAGGATGCTCGAAGTCGCTCAGCGAGCTATGAAGAGGGCTATGCTCAGGGAATCAAACCTAGGAATGAGGATATCTGCAGCAGAACCAGAGTAATCGACATCGACCAATGGATTAGTACGCTGAAGTGGAAATCGGCCATATAGCTCGAAGAACCGAATACCGAAGGGGGAAAAAGGTTTCTCGAGTGGCAGCCCCGTACCGGCAGGTGAAGTTTAGGACGTTCCCCCACTTGATGGAGTTAAAACCTGGTAAGATCAGCAGGAAGTTGATGGATTCAGGTAGCTCAGGACCGTGCTTTGTGGCATTCCTTGGGGGAAGCCTATTTTCAGCAGTGGACTTATGAATGATTTTAATGATGATGAATGATAATGGCGTTATATTAATATGATACATAAATAGAATGGATGTTACGGGTAGAGTCCATCTATCCATAGAGTCCCTTCTATTTATTTAGGTATAGGTAGAGTATAGAATTTTTATCGATATAATTTGATACACTGTCCTATCCCTATTATTAGTTCCGTGGACGTGCACTTTTGCTGTCAACGCCAAAATGGCGGAAATCAAATCGCTTCATCATGTCACGTCTATAGCCAGTCCAGCGTACTTGTATATATAGAGGTCAGTGGTAGACAGGGATACCTATAGACTAATGATTAGCGTGGCCTCGAGTGAGAAAGGAGGATAGCGTAGTTTTAGGTTATACAATAATCTTTATGACTATTAAACATATTTAGATAAAATTTAAACGTATATTTATATAGTTCTATAACGAAATTTAAAATAACAATTTAATTTTATACGTAATACCAGATAAAATGTACTATACTTACGAATGAAATGATACACCGGTGAATTTACGTTCACTATCACTTTTCATCCTAAAACACTACATCTAAAGATTTTTAAAGTTTTTAATTGTTTTAAGAACTGAGCTGTAGCTTCACCAATCTTAAGCTCACAAAATACTTTTTTCCTCACTTAAACCAACTTGAATTTTTAGTAAGTCGGTAAGTTTGAAGGAGCATGCCACTACTAGTAAACACCAAAAAATTCAGAGTTCAGTGGGCAGTCTTCGGTAAGTTTAATAAACTAAACAGATTGTAATAGGTACATATTTATTTTTTACCAGGTCGAACATCGTATCGCAGTGCTAAGCAAACATTTGTTCATTTGTTTAATCTTACACCCATAAGAATGTATGTTGCATTTTAAAATAAATTCCTTGTCAACAATTCTTGAACAAAAATTTCTTGCAAAATGAATGATAATATGATGATGATAATGAAAAAGAATGCTAATTGGCAGTTACTGGCTTTACTAAAGGCCACGTCAGGATTATCTTTAGCTTTGGAGATCCACGACGAAACTAAAGGATCTTGCTCCCACTCCGCTCTATACACCCTATCATATTTTCGCTTTATCACCACCACCAATACTTACTATCACCCACGAAATATTAATAACAAGATATCTCTAACAATATATTATCACCATGAAATCTAATGCGATACCACCACCACCAATAATTACTATCGCCCACGAAATATTAATAACAAGATATCTCTAACAATATATTATCACCATGAAATCTAATGCGATATCAAATTAAAGTACGTTTTTCTAGATCAACAATACCAACTGATCGAAGTTCTTCTATGACTAATTGAAATGTAAACCATAAACTCATGTTTATGAATACTTGTTTTAAGATTATCAAAGTTACAAACAAACTTTTAAAGTTGTTTAATAAATGTGATACAAACATAATTCGAGAAGTACAGGGAAATCCCCCACATGCTGGCGAAGAATCTAGGGTTCTAGAGCTGCCATTTCCAGTATTTTGAGTTGACATAGTGAAATCCATTTTCAATACTCCAATACAGCCCAATACTGTCAGTTTTATAAAACGTCAACCGATCATGCCAGAGGCTAAAATAAGAGGCCAATCCTGCCAAAACGGCAGGAACCTGCCTTATATGGTCACACTGGTTGACATCATGAAGTCGTAAAGTTATAAACTTCATGTTTGACATATAGGGCTAATGTTGCCACATTACCGAACCCTTAAGAAATGGGATTATGGTTCACTGATTCGTTAACCCAATAATACAGAGACCTTATGGAATTTTTAATGTAACTAATCATAGTTCAACTATTGATTTATTGGTACATTATTTTACAGAGTTTAACTTCTGATTTGGTTAGTGTGGAAACTATTTCTAAGAATTTACCAGGAGATTTAAATAAAAACATAGCAATACTGTATTCCACACTAAGTCAGACCACTGAGAGTGAGATACAAATACGTAGGTATTTGACTCAAGCTGTTGTTCCAAGTGTGGCCTCCATCTTTATCTATAACTTCATGTTTGCACTCACAGACCAAATTTGCAGGGAGTTTTTGGCGGGAACTTGGCCGTCGATGGACTATCGCTCCTGTTTTGTCGCTTGAATAATGGTTTGAAGTGGAGTTTAATTCGTAAAAGTGATGTGATTTTGTGAATTAAGTGTGCACGCATGTGAACTATTATAGAAAAGGATGAAACAAGTGCTTTGATGTTGATATAAACCAGAAGTTAATGTGATCGCTCGGGCGCCTAATGAACTTGAGTGGCTGTCGTCATCAACAGTCCGCTGGTTTGAGCTTTATTTATAGTAAAAGGGTGACAGGCGAGCACACAGTCCACCTGATGGTAAGTGGTTACTGTGGCCCATGGACATCTCCATCTATCCTCGTTTGCGAATCAAAATGAAGATGCGTTGTCAGCCTTGAGGACTAAGATAGAATGCCTCTTTTCCAGTAAAAAGGGTCTCCAGTTCTCGACACTCACCATACGAAACACAGCAGCATTAAGCTGCTATTTGATGCTGGTATTCTGTGAGAGCGTGGTCCTTCCCCGGTCGAGCCGACCCATTCGTGCTACAACTATACAATTAATATAGCTGCAGCATGGCTCTACCATGTAAAAAAAGCTGTCATCAAAGTCTCCCAAAAACTTCGCAATGTGACGAATCAGCATATTGTGAAGAAAAAATATAGAAAATGAAGATCCTGAAAGAAATGATAGGCTCAGAAGAGCTAGAAACCAGAGCTGTAAAGCCAGTTAATAAAAAAACAGATTTGCACTCCATGGTTTTGGTCCAGAAGGGCTAGAACCCAGAGCCGTAAAGTTAGTTAATAAAAAATAATAAAAATCCATGGTTTGTTGTTTGCAGCGTTGCCATTTACACGGCAATTGCCGTGTTACGCGGCAATTTGGGTCTATTCAGCAATAAAACACGGTACACGGCAGCATATTAATTGCCGTGTTCTAAAACACGGCAATCCAATGGTTACAAATTTTCCCGAAAATTTTATCGGTAATCGATAAGTCATTATAACGCACATCACTAGACTACACTAGACGTAGTTATGACTCTATGAGCGGGGAAATCCGGTCGCAAATTCAACATATGTACTATGGAGAGTTGAGGTAAGGGGAGTACAGGCTCTGTATAAAAAGTGTCCGTAGGAAATAACGCTTTCCTAAATAAGAGTGGCGCCACTGTAGCTACAGTCTAAATTTAAAAAAAAATTTTATAATGTTTTTATTGTACAAACTTTCACAATAATTCTGTTTACAGCAATTATTTTATTGCTTTCAAAATTTTTATTTTCAAAATCAGTCTCAACGTATTTTACGGTGGTTTATCAAACCCTACCTAGCTTACTCGAGCGCTATTGTGGAGAGTTTTTGAGCTGTTATTTACTGCTTACAGATGGACACATTTTCAACTATTCTCCTATGGGAGATTGTCCTCCTAACCTCTATACTCCATGATATGTACCTTTACGCACACTTCATTGTTTATTGTGTTCATTTCATTCTTTCGTTTTTTGAAAAGTACAAAAGGTATACTGCTGCATATTTACTTTATTTAACTTTACTGGATTATAACTTTATTCGATCCCAAAGAAATAGTGTAAATTTCAAAATGACAAAACAAATGATATACCATATTATGGAGAAAAATAATAAATATAAATTGAAAAAAGACGAAGAAGAAGTTTTTGGATACGATAAGAAATTTGTATGTTGACTGTGAAGAGTAATGTTTTTCTGTCATGTTTACTCTTACATGTTAATTTAAATAAAAATGTACACGGCAATTTCGTAGATTTTATTCCAAAACACGGCAATCCACATCCCAAAACACGGCAACTTAAAATTTCGAAATGGCAACCCTGATTGTTTGATAAAATTAAAAAAAAAGAGTTCATATTTATTGGTTATAATTATAAATGATGATAACATATGAAAATAAAATAATTCTTGCACCAATGGTACGCATTGGAACTTTACCAATGCGACTATTAGCTTTACGTTACGGCGCCGACATCGTATACACTGAGGAACTAATTGATTGGAAATTTATGCGATCAAAACGAAGATACAATGGTAATGTAAAATTTGAGAGCTTTTACTCTTCAATGATATTCCTCTGGGCGTGAGTTTTCTGTTGTATCAAATTCGTATTGTCATCGAGTCAATCGAGTGAATGTTATTCAACTGACTTTTGACATGGGGGCTGTCCATATTTCCATTTCTAATTTCGATGATGATCGTTTTAATTTTTTTTTCTATATTTATGCAGGGGCGATAAAGGAACACACAGTCCACCTGATGTGATGGTAAGTGAATCCTATGGCCCATAGACTCATTTATTTACATTTTAATTAAAGACGTGTTGAAATACCATCAGTAAAAAGGATCCCTTTTTCAGATTTTTTTATCATCTCACCATACATAACATAATTGAAAACATAGAGAAAGCAATTAAGTATGTATCAAGTTACTTTAGTCGAGCTCTAAAGAATAAACACTACTTCCTTTCTGGCGGAATACTTTTGCCTAATATTCTGCTATTGGGCCAAGAAGTCCATAGTATTTGTCATGTTGCCGAATACACCATTTGTTGCAAGTCTACTATAAACAGATTTAACTCAATTCAGTGAGTTTTTTAAAGGAATCATTTTGTTAAGTTTTGAGACCTAGGGAAGCTCAGTGGCTTAGCGCTCGCTGTTAATTTTACATTATGCGAGTAACCCAGGTTTGATCTCCACTGGCACCAATCGAATTGTTAATTGCAATTTTAAGTGCTGATTTACCACATGCTTTGGGGTGAAGGAAAACATCATGAGGAAACCTGCATATCTGAGAAATAAAACAAATTTAAGACATGTGTAGTCCACCAACATGCATTGGGCCAGTGCGGCGGACACTTCCATGTTCTAAAACCTTCTCAGAAGTGAGAGGAGGCCTGTGCCCAGTAGCGGGATGTATGTAGGCTGTAACTTTAATTTTGGCTTTGTTGAGTTTATAATGCAATGATCAGTATGTGTATTAATATTAGAAACAATTATAAATTTGCATTTTTAGATATTCTTAATACTGTTGATTTCATTGATCAGACTGATGGTACTATAGTATTTCGAACATGTTCAGAAGAGAAAGAAAAGGTTGTTTTACAACTTGGCACATGTGATGCTGACAGAGCTTTAAAAGTGGCCCAAATGGTGTAAGTTTCTGAAATATATGTGGACTTTCAGACTTTTATTATAATATTTTGTTTAGTTATTTGCTAAATTTATTTATTTTCACCTCTGATTATTACAGAGAAAAAGATGTAGCTGCTATTGATATTAATATGGGATGTCCCAAGGAGTTTTCAATCAAAGGTGGGATGGGTGTTGCTCTCCTAGAAGAAACAGATAAGGCATATAGTATATTACACACTTTGGTAACTAACCTGTCTATACCAGTTACATGTAAAATAAGAATTTTTGAAACAGCTGAAGAAACATTAAATGTGGTTAAAAAACTGGTTAGTGCAGGAATTAAAGCAATTGCTATACATGGTAGGACACGAAATGAACGTCCACAACATGCTGTACACACAGACATAATTCGGTATGTTGCCGACAAGATATCCATTCCAGTAATTGCAAAGTAAGTTAGAACACTATATATCTAGTATTAAACACAAATAAAGATCAATTGCTGTCTGTTAGTCTCGCTAAAACTCAAAAATGGCTCAACCAATTTTGATGAAATTTTCGTGTGTTTGAATGGGTTCCTGGATGGTTTAGATTTGCAATAAACCTGATAAGTTGCATTGTTGTCAAGATTCAGAATCCACCCTTGGGAAGCTGAAGCGGATTGCTAGTTTATTATAAAATAGCAAGCTTTTTACCTAAACTTGTAGCTTTCTTTATACAGGTACTTTATTCTGCTTTTTTTACTGGAACCATTTCTACATCATACTTGCCAAAAAGCAATGGCAGCTAAGGGGTCAAGAGCTCCCTGTAAATCTCACAGTACACAAGCAACTCGATTAATAACAATTAAATTGTTGATTGCAATTTTAAGTGCTTATTTACCATGTGCTCAGTATTGTAGTAAATACTCCTGAGAAAACTTGCATGTCTAAGAAAAGGAAACATTTTTGGTCATATAAAGATGGCCAACACGCACTGGAGTAGCTCTACAGACTATTTGCTCCAAAACTCTCCAAGAAATGAGAGTAGACCTGTGTTACGGTCTACATGTGTGGATCTACTCAGCATACTGCTCTACTGCCCAGCAGTTGGGTGTATGTAGGCTGTAATTTTACTTTTTACTTACCATTTCATTGTGATGTTATGGGTCGGTTTGACTCCCATATCCAACAAATATTTATATGGCCTATAGATCCTGTTCTGTTCTGGATCTAGCTGTTTATCCATGTGTAATTTATGTACTTATGTAAAATATCCTATTTTTAATTTTACCAAAAAGAAATCAAACTGATGCTCAATAATTATTTATGATAAAAATATAGCATCTTAACAATCATATTCATATGCAATATACAATACAAATTTTGATGTATTTCCATCAATTATCTTTCACTTTCATATACATTTGTACATATTCACGTACAAAACAACATTTACTGTACAGCTAAATAATTTTCAGTGGAGGTTCCAAAGAGATTGAGAATTACAAAGATATTCTTAAATTTAAACAAATGACTGGTTGCACAAGTGTCATGCTTGCACGGGCAGCGGAATGGAACTGTTCTATTTTTAGAAAAGAGGGCCTTTTGCCAATGGATACTGTTATTAAAGAATATCTTAAACTTGCAGTTGATTATGACAATTCACCATCAAATACAAAGTATTGTGTGCAAAATATATTAAGAGAGTTACAAGAGACACCAAGAGGTCGAAAATTTTTGGAATGCCAAACAATGGAGCAAATATGGTGTGTAATTCTATATTTTTATGTGTGTTCTGAATGTATGTAGAAAATTGAGTAGAAATTAATTTTAGCTATGGTTGAAGCACGAATAGGTCAGCATGACCGAGGTAGGACCACACTCCCATCGAATACCAGCGTACAATAGCAGCTTAATACTGCTGTGTATGGTTAGTGTGGAAAACTGGAACGCCTTTTTACTAGAAAATGGAATTCCATCTTAGTCCTCAGGGCTGACTTTTATATCTTTGTTGAGGATAAATTTGTCTTATATATACAATGTCTATGGGCTTAGCATCCACTTACCATCAGGTAGACTGTGTACTGGTTTGTCACCTTTATTCTATATAAAAAAAAATATGTTTTTTTTTTTATATAGGATAGGGTGACCAATGAGCACACAGTCTATCTATAATAACACTATAAAAATATACATAAGATATACTTTATCATTTGTGTGTTTTGTGTACCTAATTGTATAACATAATAAGGTTTATTATATTAACAGTGCAATTTGGGATTTAGAAGAATATTGTTGTGAAAAACAATCCAAATACCAAAAGATGGGTATACAGGGAAGATGGCAAGTCACTCCAGATGAATTAGAACCTCCATACAAAAAGCAAAAGTCTACCTTAGTTTGTTTAGAGGACGTAACACAAATGCAGGCAAGTAATGAGATTGAAATGTTATTTTAATAAACACCAACATTCGTGTATTAATCGCGCAACACTGTCAAAAGTGTGATCGGCAACGATGATGCGCCACATTACTATTGATAACGCTTATTACCAGTTACGAGGTGTGTTCAATATATTGTATCAATATATTGTAATATTAGCATAAATATACGGTAGCATTTTACCAGAACCATATTTTATTCATATACTTCATTCACTATTATGATGTTTGTTATAGGTATGTTTTATTCGCGCCAATTTCAATGATTTGAACCTGCCAAAGTCTCAACTACATGCATGGGCTGGTAAAAACGGACATAAATTACCTGTTTATGACACTCAACAGGTAGAAAAGTTATTTCGTACAATATTAACATTCAATGGCAGAAGATATACATCAACATTTTGGGAGAAAAACAAAAAGTTTGCAGAACAAGGAGCAGCTTTAGTATGTTTATATCATCTTGGGGTACTTACAGAGGAAGATTTAATTAAGTTTGGGAGCATAATAAAATAAACTGAATAAAAATCCTGTTCAGTGTATCATTTAAATATATTATAGTTGGTTTTTCATTTTTTCTATATTTTCCACAAGTTTTTTATTTAAACTTTCCAGTTTCGAATTAAGTTCCTCTTGTTTCATTAGATCATTTTGTAATAATTTAACATATTTGTAACATTCATAAGAATCTTGTAGTGTCTCATCGGCGTCTGTTAATTTTAATTGTTGATCACATTTTATAACATTTGGATTGCCTAAATCTTCTAAAACTTGTTGAGGGTCTGGCAAGTTTGGAATTGTATATTTACTCATATCCATCTTAGTATATTTATGCGGTTAATATGTTTTGTTTCATTCAACAAATATTAGCAGGCAATAGGTTGTTAACAATTAATTTACATCCATACCCACCATGCACAAATCAAGAAGCTATCAATTAACAGTAAAGATTACATTCTTGGTATTATTAATAACAGAGTTCACTTGTTCACTGCCTACTATTATCTAACACAATCCTATGCCTAATACAAATGCAAGCTGATTCAGTGGATGTTGTGGATGATCATTGGGATCATTGACCAGATGACATGACAAGTTCATTTTCGGTAATTTTTTTATTTAACTGGTTTTACGGCTCTGGGCTCTAGCCCTTCTGAGCCTATCATTTCCTTAGTAATCTTTGTTTTTTATATATATATATTCTTATTCTTAATATATATACTGATGCGTAACATTGCATAGTTTTTGGGAGATTATGACGACAGCTCAATCCAGCGGACAGTTGATAACGACAGCCACTCAAGTTCATAAGGCGCCCAAGCGATCAAAATGACTTGAAGTTTATATCAACATCAAATCACTTATTTCGTCGTTTTTTCACATAATCGCAACACTTTTACGAATCAAAATCCACTTCAAACCATTATTCAAGTGACAATCCGTAGACTGCCAAGTTCCCGACAATCCTTTTCGGTAGAATCCACTCGTTAGCACAGAATACTTTCACTCCTATGCTAGTTAGTATGTGTCTATGGACCTATGCTGTGAACAAGTTGTCTGGGCAGTTTTGGCGGGAACTTGGCCGTCGACAGATTGTCGTTCCTGTTTCTAAAACTTCGCAATGTGACGCATTAGCATGTTGTTAAGAAAAAATATATAAAAATGAATATTCTGTAAAATGATAGACTCAGAAAGGATAGAACCCAGAGCCGTAAAGCCAGTTAAATAAAAAAACAAGTTTTCTGTCTCATATATTCAGTATTATGGAGTGTAGAAGTAAGGAGTACCAACTCCCATAGTAGAATAGTTGAAAAAGTGTCCATCTGTAAGCAGTAAATAACAGTTCAAAAACTCCACTACAGCGCTCGAGTAGCTACGGTAGGGCTTGCAGTATTCGTTCAATTTTACTATTCGAATATTTCGAATAGTTGCCGACATTCTATTCGAACACTAAGAATTTTTCGAATGATTTCTACTTAAGGTGTATCCCTGACCAAAATGTTGCGAAAGTGCGTTTTTCAGACTCTTATCTCATTAGTTATGAAAAATAAAATACATCTAAAAGCACATTATTAATGTTCGATATCTTATCATCACATTCCACGTCTAATTTGTTTTTATGTGCTATAAATACATTTAAAATCAACTTTTAAAAAATGACTAAAATTCTTGATTACATGCATCTGTTGCTAAACGCAACGCTCTAATCATTTGAGGATTACACTAATGGATAGATAATTTAAAAATCTATATTCTCTACGTTTATTTAATTTTTTAAGTTCGTTTTTCTCTTTGTAATTGAAATAATTCCAAAAATTGTGTGAATTCTATGATAAAGGGGCGTGCGTAGAGTGCGGGCGGCATTACGCTGTATGCTTCGATCAAAAATGATATCTATATTCTCTACGTTTATTTAATTTTTTAAGTTCGTTTTTCTCTTTTTAATTGAAATAATTCCAAAAATTGTGTGAATTCTATGATAAAGGGGCGTGCGTAGAGTGCGGGCGGCATTACGCTGTATGCTTCGATCAAAAATGATAGATGTCGGGTCGGCGCAAGAAATCCATCTAAGTAAATAAAAGCGCACATGAGACGTGAGCTCTTATTTCGTTTAGTTCATTTGAAACACAGCCAAAGTAAAGACGTTTCACAATGCCGCAATGTGTGTTTAAAAGTTGCAATAATAATGCCCGAAAAAGTAATTTAACAGCAGGAATGTCTTACTTTCAGTAATTACATGTGTGATAATGATGTGGTATACTTTAAGCTTTAAGGCCGAATACGATGCGATTGACCTTGCTCATTTCACAGCAAACCACGCGCCGTCTATCGAACATCACGTGTGTTACCCGTACGTTTTGTTTATATAGACATGTATAATATAATCAAAGCCGTACGGGCTTTGATTATATTATATTTGACTGAGTTACCTCAGTATGCAGAGTAATGAACAACACAGAGAGCATTGCTTACTTCTTAAATAAATCTTTCTTATTTATAATATTAGTTTCTATAGATTATGAATTCTGTACTTACTTTATTCGTTATAAAATATTGTTCGAAAAGTTATTGAATTGATATCGATTTTTTTTTCTTAATTGGTGCATCGTACGTAAAGAACTTAATATAACTGAAAATGTTTGTTCTTGTGAGTCTTACAAGATGCCGTAATTCAAATTGCATTGCAGAAAAAAAACTAAAAAGTCGGTGATTGCCCCATAGTGGGGATAGGTACTGTGTATGTAAATTCTCACAAGACTACTCCGACTGGTCAATCACTTCACATCCGAGGTATTTCGGTTTTTCTTAATTATGTACTTACCCCATGCTTTCAGACAATACATTGACTGACATTATTTGCGGTCTCTGTGCTTGCACTACTCTGTACATTCTTTACCGACCGGTCTTGATATTTACATTTCTAGTGTTTCTCACTTGAAACTAGAAAAGTATAAATGATCAGTTTGGCTAATGTAAATGAGTAAAAATGCAGCCTATTAGGCAGCCTCAAACAAAAAATTACCTTACAAAAAATATAAGTAACCTCAAAAAACAACATTCGAGCAGCGTTCATGCGATAAACTCTCTTTGTTTTACCACTTAGGTAAAATTTATTTCTTTTCCTACCCATATTACATTTATAGTCACTTAAACGCGTATAAAACACTAAATTAACGATTTTCACTACAGACACAACGACTGTTGTCACCTTACACCACACGTCGAAGCACCTGGTAATTTATTACGGCAAACTTTTATCTGGCAATATACGATATTATTAGGTGTTTTTAATTAAAACGAATTATGTTAATAAATAATATTTTGTATCGAAAATAAAGACGGCAGGCACCTTCGGAATCATAATACAAACATTTTTACGTAAAATAATTTTTCCTAAATTAAAATTCACAGAGTTTTGGAAGAACAATCATATTTAAATATCATTTCGTAACATTTTTTTATTTGTTGGTATATTCATTTATTTTAAAATTTTAAAACTGCTTTGTGAAGGAACCGAACAAACCAACAAAAATGTTTTAACGCTTAGAATTACTTCAGGTCAAAGTTGTAGTGAAGAGAAATACATTAAATTTCGCCAGTTCTCTTCGTATTCAGCCTTAAACTAACAAATAATATCATATTTGAAACAAAATTACCGATCAAAGCCACCTCTACAAATGTTTTGCCAATGTTGGCAAATACACGCGTAAACATTTGTGAAACAGAACATGGACGCATGAAGTAGATTTGTATTGTAATAATTTTTAATAATACGTTACCAAAACTTTAAATATAGGTAATTGCTAATTTTGTCTTTGTTTGTGTAATTCCAACAGATGCTTAGATTTATTTTTAGCTTTCCTAGCTTTCTTCCCTGGTCGAGCTGACCCATTAGTGCTACGAGGGCGGCACTGAAAATTTCGAGAATCAAGGAAGTGACACAACATTACTATTTAAAAATGTATTTATTGCTTTTCAAAGTATTCTCCGCGAAATTTGACACATTTTTCCATACGATAGAACCAATCATTGAAGCAACCATTCCATTCGGAAGTTGGGGTCTCCTAAATGGCCGTTTTGTAGGCGTTCACAGCTTCTTCAGGTGATGAAAATCTCTGTCCACGCAATTTATTCTTTATTTTAGGGAAAGTATAGAAATCATTAGGGGTTATGTCGGGGCTGTAGGGCGGATGGTCTAATAATTCTATGTTTTCTTGAAAAACTCTTTTTCTGTGTGCGTGAGAACTCGCATTGTCGTGATGGAGGATGATGCGGCGGTTGCAGTTCTCTTTACTGAGTTCAGAAATGACCTGTGGCAAACAAATGCTAGCATACCATTCTGCATTAACCGTTCTTTGTCCCTCAAGAGGAATAGTCGTAACATTGGCTGGTTTTGGAGACAAACGTGGCCACCATTTTTTTTGCAAACACTCCGTGAACGAACAATTTTTGTTGGCTTTAACTCATTTTCGAACACCCAAGCTCGTGATTGGTTTTTTGTTTCGGGTTCGTACGCGTATATCCAGGGTTCGTCACCTGATACGATGTTGTATATAGCATTTGAGGATCCTGCGTGGAATCTTTCGAGAGTTCTGACGCACCAAGTAACGCTAGCCGCTTTTTGCTCTTCATAGAGCGAATGCGGTATCCATCGGGAAAACAACTTTTTTACACCTAATTGTTCATGCACGATTATTTGTATTTTACTCATGCCAATGTCTAAAGTTGCCTGAATTTCGCGGTATGTCACATGTTGATCTTCCTTAATCAGCTTACGCACAGCATCAACGTTTTCTTGGGTGACTGCAGTTTTTGGACGACCTTGACGGGGCTCATCACTGAGCCTGACACTTCCTCGCTCTGGTCCCTGACACTAGATGGCGCTAGTGCCAGGTACCTGACGTCAACTTAGGCGTGCAACACTGCCCCCTCCTAAGACATGCTCGTCCCGAACATTATCGGTCCCATAATAACGCGCCAGTCGTTCCACATGGACGATCTTAGGAGTCCCTCTTGCGCTTTTCTGTATCCGGTAGGTTACATCGTTGATCTTGGTCACAATCCAGTACGGGCCGCCCCATTTAGCTTGAAGCTTAGGAGATTTCCCTTTGCTGCGGACTGGATTGTGAAACCACACTAGTGAACCTTCTTCGAACCCTTTGTTGTTCATTTTGGGGTCATACCGGGTTTTCATCTTTTCAGACATTTGCTGGCCCGATTGTCTGACGTACTCATAAATGTCATTCATTTTGTTCCGCAAGTCATTTGCATAATCGGTTATACTGCGTGGGGCATCAGGTGGTATCCCGGTG